ATAACCAAAATAATGTCTTTCCTTTGTTTTGGTCTAAAGAAGCACAAGAACATTAGGAAAATGTTGATATTTAATAAACAGATCTAGCGTATACTCCATGAATTGCACCTTATTAAAAGTAGTCATTCCGTGTCTCTTGTGAATTTTTTCACTTTTAAATTATCCTGCGGGCCTGATGTTTGACATCTCTGCTATACAGTATTTGCCATACTCAGATGTCAAGCCGCGGACGCAAATACTGTACTGCAGTGCAAATAATGGAGCCACGGCTGCCATCCACTGGAGGCCCGAGCCCAAGTTTTAACTTTACTACTTTATTGAAGTTTCAATATAATTTTAAGATGCAAAATTGGAAAAACAACAACCCGTGACGCCATGTTGTATGACGCCATGGCAAATGACGTAACACGCACGTCCCAGTTCTGCCAGTTCGTACATTTGATGCACTTGTGTTTCCATAATCTTTTATGGCGCTAACATATTGTAGCATAATCTTTTTCTATGTTTGCCCTTGCATTTTTTTCCTTTTCTTCTCCTTTATATTCATATATTCTGGACATCTTGATGTTATATTGAGTGATTGTTGAAATTTGTTATATATTGTATTTGTACTGATTACTGTACTCCAATTGCATCTAATGTTCTACTGTTGTATCTTCTGCATTTTGGATTTAATTTTTAAAAATCTGAAAAAAAAGTTCGTACGCTTGTAACCTGCACTCTCGAACACTAGATGCACTTCAACTATGTGTACACTTAAATCGTGGGGTGTAGTGTGGCATTGGGCCGTAGTTTTTCTTTCTTTCTTCTTTTTTTTTAATTTTTTTTTACTTAAATCACGTTCTTAGTATTTTCATAGGGCATTCTGGACGTCACCTAATGGGTCCTTGATACATTCAGGCAACTCTAAGGTTGCGCCGTGAACAAGGGTCCTCTCCTGCTGACTGACACACGTGTGTGTATGTGGTCAACATGGCCGATTTACAGATGAAGCTTCTCCGGAAGAAAATACAGAAAAGAAATGAAAAAAACAAAGAGCGCAAGTTACTCAAGAAGCACACATTGGACGAAGAGTCTGGTTAGTAGTGATCGTCAAAATCTGATGTTTCACTTCCTGGCGGTGACTATTAGCTTCGTTAGCGTTGTTAGCTTGTCGCAGCATGATTTCTAATCGTGATTATAAGTTGCAACAAGTAAACATCTCATAATTTCAGTGGTAAATGACCATCGTACTGCCCGTAATCAATTTTATGATGTCGTTGTGTACTTATGTAATGAGATGTTTTGTATACAGCTAGTTGTGTGTGGTTTTAAAATTTCACGGAACCAATACTAACAAAAGTAACTTTTATTGTATTCAAACTGTGTATTGTAGATACAGCAACAATGTAGTTGAAATAAAGTACATCATTATTGTTGGAAGTTCACATCACGGCTCAACGTTTTCCCCAGTAAGGTCAGAAGGAGTGGAGGAGAAATGCACTCAAGAAGCATGTGAAGCTGAGACTAAACTCGTCCAGGAACAGCAGAAGCAGGAAGATGAGCCAGTTGACGTTCCTGCATCTGCCCAGGGAAACTCTGTAAAGCAAAAGAAGAAAAAGAAAAGAAAGGCGCCTCTCACGGCTGAATCACCGGGTAACAGAACTCGAAACTGTGAGGAACAATTGCACTAAAAATGCACCATTGCTGTTTTTGCTGAAATGAATGTTATAATCCTTAGCTGAGAAAAAGGTCAAAAGTATGCACCAAGTAAATGGGCAACATGAGATGGAGGAAGAGGAGGAACCTGTCAAACCACAGGAGCAGGAGGGGGATGTTGAGGATCTACCTGAGCTACCGTCTGGCTTGACAGGTATATATGTCATTTTATTTTATTTAACTTTTAAACCCTCATTCAGACTGTTCACTTGTGATTTGGAGCATTTTCCAGCTGGTTTGTGGGAAAAAGTGGTGAAATTGTGCTTTGCTGTTTATATTACATGTGTACATTTTTGAAACTTGCAAATACTGATTTTGCCAACTTTGTAAAGGTGACAATATTGTAGCGATGTAGCATGCATAGTTTTAGACATGAATTCTGATGCCTTAAAGTGTTGCCCTTTCAATGTTTCCATCATGAAATGGGTGTCAGTCAAGGCTGACATGAATTCTTGTGGTTGTCTTTGAGATGAGGAGTCACCCCTGATTCCCCTGATAAAGCCTGCAAGTACATGTTTTATTGTATCGTTAAATGTAGGACTGAAACTGCAAGAATGTTTTAATACTAAATAGGTCCAGTTTTTTTTTTCAATTGATCAATCTAATTGAAAACATTTTTTTTTTAAATCCAATCCTTTATTTAAAAACTGCACATTTGAAATTGGGAGAGCACAAAATTGCACAAACAGGTTGCTCAATGAACATTGTAGAGCTCTTCACTCATTTCATTTTATGGTAAAGTATGTCACCCGCCCTCAGCATACTGAGTCAGTGCAGTTTGGAAGCTAGCTTACAGGGCCTCAAAAATAGTCCATGCATGCATCGTAGAAATGGATGTAACTTAATTTTCATGCCAGCGCAAGTCTTGTCTTGCGTGTTTGGAGCTGTGGAGTGCCTCTCTGGGCATTCGAGCACCCGAGTTGACTCGCCCCC